AAAATCTTTTGGAATCAATCCACTTGGAATGTTGTCTTAAAAGCAATTTAAAAGTTACTAAGAGTTTAAAAAAACCCATATTAAAAAGATGGGTCACATAACTTTCATTTAATCAAGCTGCACGTAGCTACATGTATGAATTCAGAGCCCAATTATTAAAGTTCAGTATCTGAAATGGGAAAATGAATCTCTGCTAAGCTTGTTGGTTGGCCAGATGTTTTAATGTGGCATCAAATCGTGAGCTTTCTCAGCTCGTTATCAAGAAATTCAGTACAAAGAAATGAATCCATGAATATTGTCAAATCAAGTTTGGCACTTCAACAAATCTTCCTTAATTTATCCACTGACACTGACATGGAGAGGTTTATGAAGTATTTAATCTGTAAAAAAGTAAATTTTTTGCTGGAAAATTGAGTGATCAATCTATGCGTAAATTTATCAAGCAGCATGGCAGTGCCATGCATCTACCCTCATCTCAAATCTTGTCAAGCGAAGAATAGTTTGACTCAGACCACTTCAATCATTTTCCATTTCAATCATTTCCCTCCTTGGTCAAAACAAGACAGGGCCTCAGTCAGTGTTGTAGTCGAGACCACTTAAGACCTTCACAAGACCAATTCCTTCCTCTTTTTTTACAAATATTTTTCTGTGTGACATTTTGCATTTCAACTAAGCCTAATACAATTTTGCATTCACATTTACATGTACATGTATACACTTACTGCAACATCTGAAATCTATCCACATGTAAAAGAAATCACGTAAGTGTCACTGTCAAGAACAGCCATGCTTGGTCAGGTAATTAGCATGGGGAAAGTGCATGTCATGCCTTGCATTTCATGAAGGCAGTAACATATACAGGGCAAAAAGTACAGTACAAACTCTCTTGAGGTTATCCGCTCCGAGCGGAACAAAAGAGGGCGTGTTTATTTAGGAACTCACGGCATAGGTGCGCCACAAGGAGCTCAAGTATACGCGCATTTGACGCGGAGCATGCCAAGTACGCGTAACTAATTTATTCTGGCATGTATGGTCTTTGCTTAAACGCAGAACGCGTGCAAGACCCCCCTTATAATCACCTGTCTTTCTTTTGCTGATTGGGGGTGCACTTCAGCTCGGGGTGGATAACCTTCTAAAAGACCATATTCATGGGAGAAACCATTTCAGTCGTATTCCTGAATGTATTGTATACATGCAAAACCCTTGATGGGCTGGTGCCAGGTGGTTTTAGGGTCGGAATGAAAAGGGAGAGCCTGGTTCTTTAAATTCAACGTTTTTAAATATATACACCAAGAGAGATTGGGTCCCCTGTGCATAAGGTCTATTTATAAAAATGTTACAAACTACTGATAACCAGGGCCGTTTCCCAATACTCAACTTCGTCTCTGTCTCTGGCTTCGTGTAGGAAACCAATCCCCAATTGTGGGCCTGAAGCGTCTAATTTAAATTGAAGTACTGTAATGTTTGGCTCTTTTGCATCTTACTTGATGATTTGTGGCACAATCGGACGTACTATTGGGCTTATTATAACCTCAAAGTAAGAAATATAGTTGAAGCCTGAGACGGAGCCTAAGTCGCGTATTGGAAAACGGCTCTAATCACTATAAATTATTGTGGACATTTTTGCATTCCGACTAAGTCCACATCAGTAAACTCATTTTTATGAGATGACACTCTCTCCCGGAATAAGTCACATCAAGTTTTAGAATGTCCAGTACCAATCTTGTTTGTTTTGACAGTCTTGGTTTCACTCGAACCAGGCTTGGTAAACTGGCAATCCAAGGTCTGGACTGTCTAGGACGCGGAAGTCGGACGAGATGCTCCAATCAGAGAGAAGGCAGCCCAGTGCTGGGGTAGGTGGTGTTTCTCCTCGTCTGCTAACATCAACAGCATGGCTTCCCGCAAGGCCCTGGCAGCATCGCGGTGGACCTATGGAGCAACATGGAATCTCCTCCAGTCAGATTTCATGGAGGATTGAAACGTTGAATGGCAAACAATACAGAAGCAATTAAATAGTATTAGATGTGATTTCAAGCTATTCATGGTGACAGACAACTCAGGTGGAAAGCTTGCGGTAGCACCATGCAAGAATACAAACCGTACAACATTTCAACTAGTAACCCCAAGAATTACACCTCGCCCAATTCAGATTGATTCCATGATGTACCCGCAAATCTATTTCCCAAGTGTTGTCATGAAACTTTTTTCATGTCCTTCACATTTTTGTGCCTCCATGTAAATGGCTCTTGTTGACTTGCAGTGATCTTGGTTTAGTGCATATGCATTGTGAACATCTTTTTCCTTAAAAAAATCATAAATGTACCACTTTTCAGCTGAATTTAGGATGATCCCAATAAGCCCTGGGTAAATATCCTTGAATGAAGTTTCACGGCAAAGTGGTCAATTAACGAGAATTTCAGGGATAAAATATTCACAGACCACTCCCTCCACCAACAACACTTGATGGAATTATAATTGAATCAACTTACGATAAAATCCTGGTAGAAATGACGCATGAACTGGGCTGTGGCCTTGTCGTATATCTTCCACTGCGTGACCACGACGCTGGCTGCCCCTGCTACCAGGAAAGACCTGTATAACCCCAGCACACCATCCCCTGGGCAATAGTACACAAATGTTGCCTGACGTAATAATGTATGACCATGGATATATAGACCACAAATGAGGGCAATACTCAGTAAAATGTTGCCTGACATGATAATGTATGACTGTGGACATACAGACTCGAAATGAGGGTAATAGTAAACAAATATTGCCCGACATGATAATGTGTGACTAAGGATATATAGACCAGAAATGAGGGCAATAGTGCACATTTTTACAAAGAGGGTAATCATTAACGACCAGAAGAACATCAAATAAGGCTGAACACTAAAGAACAGGAAGACTTCTCGTAGTTCATCACAGACCATGTACATGTATTTCGCTTAGTACTTAGTGTCTGAAGTTAGCCATTTACTATCACGCCACACTCTTCACAATCTAAACTATTATATTGATGGGCAAACTATGAAAAAGTGAGGAGAATAGTACCCATGGGAACAATAATTGGCATCTACCCATCTTTCTGCACGATCAGTTCTCATTGCTATAGAGTACAGAAGTGTGACGTCACTGTGAACCAGAAAGTGCAGTGAAAACGAATGGAGTACGTGCGCGCATTGGTTCACGCGCTGGTTCTTGCGCTAATGCCTTTTAAACACTAATTGTGCGCGTGACGTATTCACTTTGGTACTCTATAAGCTTGCGTAGAATAAGCCCTCTTGCACATTTCCTTGTGTTTACAACGTGAAGAACTCACCGGTGACTTGACCCTTTCCGGTCTGACAGCAGCTGAGCACGGCCACCTCCGCCTTCAACCTCTGATCTTTGACGTCCTCGGCCATCAATAGGCCACTGCAGTTCTCATGGCTGCGGGCCAAGACCAGAAATCCCCGCATGCTGAAATCCCCCGTCGCTGCTCTCTCCGGCTGGCAGGTGTGGGCTCCTTCCTTGATCATCTTTACGTGTCAGAGAAAAAATCTAGGTTAGTTTCAATTACAGACACTTTATGTATTCTGTGGATAATACACATTATATTCTAAAGGCCTCGTGCCTGAACTGCTGAGGGCGCTATTTTACATTTGCCAAATTGCCATGGTATGCCTCCTTCAAACAAATATTGTTTAGGAATTCAATTTTGAACGAATGTGACTGTTACGTGGATGACTTGTCTTGAGTATTTTCTCTGTAAGTTCTACAGAGAGGATATGGCAAAAAGACTACTTGGATCTTCCCCCCTCGCTATATAAATAAATCAAAACTACACACACCTTCACAATTCCACTGTCCTGTTCGGCATGGGTTGCAAAGTGTAACACTGAGTGCTCGGGCATTTTCTGCCGGACGTTGTCCACCGTTGCATCGCTGTCGGTCAGCACCACAGAGTCCATCCCTGGCCGTCCATGCGGCGGCAAGAATGATGACTGGGACTCAAAGAAGTCCTTCACCATTCTGGCCTCTTCCGTGGCTGCAGGAAGAGCTGGCATTCTACCAGTCAAGCAAATATAAAGAAAGATAAAAGTGATATAAAAAAAATACAAAGAACACTTCACAAATGGCATTACGTGCAATCCCAACAGACCATGTGCTTCAAACTAGGGCTCTTTTTGTACATAGGAAGCACTGCATTTTTCCCTTACTTTTTTATTAAATGAAGTGTTACATGTAACAAAAGTAGATCCTTCAGTCCCTGAATTGAAGTCATGACCATGGTATCAGGTGTTTCAGTGGCACAATGGTTGATTTATCAGCAATTCTGACCTTCATCCTTACAGTTCACATATATTTTAATATGTAGAATGTTTTTTATGGGCCATCCCCGGCCTAAATAAATGGACACAGGTTTTGATATTGACAGGCAGGTTCCTGGGTACTCGGCATAGGCCTTAAATAAAAATTCCAACTTATGGCATCGATTGTAGTAGGAGTGGCCAACTCTATATTGCATTTGAACCAACCTGCTAACCCCATCAATTAAGCGTGACAGCTAAGTCCAATCTACCTAAATTATTATTATTAGTGGATGACTGTTTTTCTGCTGAAATAAGTGCTTGATTTCATGGGGCTGCTAAGCACAGGACTTGATGCTAACAGAGACTCTGTGTATTTCATGAAGACTGTAAGTTGTGTAAGAACAAAAAACATGTATGCTTAATTACCTCGCAGGAAGAATTTGCTAAGCATAGTGACAAAACAATGAAGATTTCTAGTAAATTTTGTCACTAGCTCTCGGACAAGCACCGAGCATACAGTGTTACTGAATAGGCATTGATGTAAGGGCAAAAACCTGTAATGATTATTATTGAAGGTTTCTATGTGCACGTGGCTGTAATCACAACAAGATGAGGTGCCGCCATGAAATAGTGCTTACTGTTAGCACAAGTTTCTGTTCCAGTAAGCATGACTTTCCTGCTAACCGTTAAGCAGTACCATAAAATTGGGCCCAGATGCTTGCTTGGTCTTACTTGGGATGTGGCATTGTGGGATTGCCCACAGCCAGGACACTATGTGGCGCTGCTGACGACATCTGACGCAGCTGGCTCAGCCGCTGATTGGTCAGTTTGAGAGTTCGCACAGAGGGCACAAAGGAGATGACATATTTCTTGATTAGGTGGTGATTGTCCGGACCAAGCAGGGCACAGAAAGGCAGGTTATACATGTAATCTGCCAAATCGAGACAAAAATTGTATTCACCCGTCAAACACCATTTTACTTAGTAATCAGTGATTTGGAATTACCTGGACCTATCTCGCACAAAAAAAACCTCCAATAAAACTAATGAACTCTCCTCAGGGAGAATATGGCTCAATGTGTACAGGACAAAAACTACAACAAAAAAAATTCAACTTCCAAACTTTTTTTTCCGGACGGGTTCTCCCCTTGTGATAAGTAAGTCGGCTCACTGACTCAAGAAAGCCTGGCGTAACCCTGAAAGGGCTGAATTAGTTTGTTGGATTCTGCCCACCTGGCTCTTTTAGGGTTAAGGCAAGCATCATGTTTAACACCTGATTAACGTATTTATTTATTCCATTTCTTTACCCAGGGTATGCCCAAACAGTTACAAACTGGTTTCCATTGGGGCCCTGCAATCATAACAAATTAATAAAATAGTTAGGAACGATGAAAGTAAAATTGACAAATACGACAACCATTAATATTTACAAATACAGACCAGATGTCAGTTTCAAAACTATGTTTCAACACATTCGAAGAACTGATAAATTTTTCTTCACAATGATGGCGGCAAGCCTGTGAACTAGCAAAGTACATTCCCACCATAGGAGAGTCTGTTGCGCCCTCTCTTGGTCCTGCATGGGGCTCATACCTTGAGGTATGAAGGTAACTCTTGGTACATCAGTCATCCCTTCTCTCCATTCAGGCAGGAAACTCTCGATGGGAGCGATGAATATGTTGTAGTCTGCCCTCAGCTTGTCCAGTACTCCCTGCAGCCTAGGATCGGTGACAGGCTGTTTGGGTTTTGGCTCCTCTGGGTCACCGTAGGCATGGGCGATCTTCTCGTGCCTGGGCAGGTGGTGGGGAATATCTCTGGCAGGTGAGGGGTCTTCGGTGTGGCCTGTAGAGGCCTCCATACATGTGGTTTGGTCAGCGGGAACACAAACGTCATCAGGCTCTGTATGAACTGTTTAAAAAACCACAGACGAAGCATTAAATCATAACTCTGAAGCTGGCAGCTGAAGCCAAGTTGGGTAAATAACCAAAGAAACTTGACCAGGATGTTAAAACAGAGCTACTTCAGATTCAGCCAACCAAAAATTCTTTGCCCATTCAGTAGAAATCTCAGTTTCGGTCTAGTATTTCACCTTTTTTTTAAGAAAAAGCAGAAGTGCTTCTCCTTATAAGGTATAACAGTGGAAAACGTGACGGACGTGACTCTGAAATATTTGAGAGAAGCCAAAATGGCTTGATAAATTAGCTGAGTTCCAGATTTACTGCAAAAGCTTCCATTTACAATATGATCTTTTACCTTTTGTGTTCAATGTTTCACTCACGCTCAGTTCTCCAAGAGAGCGACAGAGAGAGTTCACGTGTTTGTCGTCTACTTGGATGTCTGGCCCTTTCCTCTCTGAACTCAGCATTCTCTTAGCAAAGTGGACCTTCCAGCTGCCATCTTCCACGTAAGCCTCTCCTTCATTGGTTGACCCAGGAGGAGTTATGTTACGGATCTCCTCATTGGCTGTCTCTGCTGTTCCCCTGACGACCACCCAGGAGTACAGCCATTTCTCGACGTCTCCTGCTGGTGTGAACTCGGTCACGATGGAGTAGATGACGAGAGTTGTGTTGAGCTCGCTGGCCGTTTGGAAAATATCAGCGAGGGCTTTCTCTGTAAAACGTTCCTCCAACATAGATGTGGTGCTTATGTACTCAGAGCCAGTGTTGAAATCACGAGAGCTGAGTAAAAATGGGAAAAGAGACAAAAGGACTTTTACAATTTGCAACACAATTCATCTTGTAAAAAAAAGCTGTAAAAAGTATACCCCAAAAGATCCATCCAAATGTTTTTGATCTTTCAAAGTTTGAGTCTAGTCACTCGTACTTCCCCATTATCAAGCAACCTATCCATACTAAAACATAAAAATAAAATGCTCCGTTATTACGACTGAAAGAAATGACAGTACCCAGACCTGAAAAAAGAAGAGACAATCGGCAGACTTTGCAACAGGAAGTAAATTAATGCCTTTCAGTGTTGTAGTTGAGCACTTTTCAAGAACCAATTTCTCTACGAAACCTTTAACTAGTTCGGAGGGAACAAAGCTGAAGTACATCGGCATTTGATGGTACATGTAGCGAGGTAAGATGACAAAGTAAAATGATGACGTCAGACCATCACTGTTTGAAAAAGATTGAGTTTTAGGACAAAAGTACTTGAAAAGTAGTTGGTTGAGTACTTTCCAAATATTTTTCTCCTTAAAACTTAAATTTTACACAACTGGGAGTGCCTGATGAAGTCTTACGTTTAGTTTGTAAACTTTCCTTTGTGCTTGTGTACTCCAGATTCATTCCCTCTTACCTAGTCCAAAATTTGGCAGGCAACCTTGATGCTCAAAGAGTACTGGACTGCAACGCTGACGCCTTCTAGGAAAAACATTCTACCTTTCTGAGTCTAGCTCCTTCTGGTTTTGTTGAATCAGGTCAGCAAGAGCCCTTGCTCGGCCTTGCTCAGACAATGCCAGCGCCTCGCGGAATTTCCCCTTCCGGATGAGGATCGTCTGCAGGAGGTTGAAGGCCTCAAACTGGTTCTTCTCAAAGTTGGCAATGCGCGACGAGTCCTCCTCGCCGATCTTGGCACGGATTCGCTCCAGCGTGAAGAAAGCATCGGTAATGTACTTCTCTGCCGTGTCCAGATCCTGGTCAAAGGAATTGTTAATGGATACATAAAAAGGTACTAGTTTTTCAAAAATAGGAAAACCATCTGATGCAAACCAATAGCTCTCGCAATCTGAAATTACAGCAAAGCATTTTTCTTGACAATATTTTGAGTTCAACGTAGAGTTTCTCACTTGGACAAATCTTTAAGAATATTAGTTTGTCATCGACAAGCAACTTCTGATAATCTGTTTCATTCAACTCTTTCCAATCATAGACAACTTCTGTCCTGATATCAATTTAACACAAATGCACCTGAGTAAACAAGTAGTCCATGGCTAGCTCGCGCTGCATGATGGCCACGCCCCCCACGTCATCACGTTCATCAGCATTCTCACGATACTTTTCATGGTAAACGACTGCCTCCTCAAACTTGCCTGAAAAGACACCAAAGATAGCTCCTCGTAAATAAATTCAGGCAGGCAGAAGTACACTTTAACATTTTGGTTCAGTAATTAGCCATTTGGTTTGCCCTTCAATGGTTTCGTTTAGGGTAATGGGTGTTGTTTAAAAATTTATAAGACATAAAAATGAAGTCAGGAATAGAACAGTGAAATCCTGCTTACAACAAGTTGACCACCGAGCTTACTGGGGTCAACCTGCATGATATCAACTTTTGGTGAAATTCTGGAAAAGGGGCAATGGAAAAAATTCGAAGACTTCAACTGCCATCTTTTCATTTCTTCAGTCTTGTCTTGCATAATTTAAAACTAGTCCAATTTGCTCATTTTTAATGCTGAGAGAGCAGGGATATATTGACTCCTGTCCAAGTCACCTCGGCAAAGTTTATTAAGCAAGCAACAATGCAATGGTAACGTGGCTTGTTGCTGATGTCTGTAATGGTCATTAATGGTTCATTCTCACCCATGGCACGGTAGACTGTGCCGATGTTTCCGTAGGCTATCCCCAGCCCGCGATGATTGCCAATTTTGCTGTGCACTTCCAAACATTCCTCCAGGAGTTTAACGGCAGACTCATAGTCTCTCAAAGCTGAAACGCCATCAAAATGAAATAAAGGCACAGAATTAATTAATATTTCAAAGAGGTGAAGTCATTTGAGCATAAAACATCTGATGTAATCCCAGATTGAACACGTTCAGTGCACGATGATGAGTCGGGTGTGGTTATGCTGATCGGCCCAACGTCATGTTTTGACCATGCATTGGCTATTTAAAATAGTAACAGTTACACTGAAGGGAAATATCTCATTTTGAAAAGAGGAAGCACTGCATTTTAGAAACGTCTCACATATGTTGTAAAGATGGCTCTTAATTTTTTGGTGATATTTGGCTTATTTTATAAATTGGCTGATTTATGTTCGCTTTTTCCAACAACCTGCTTTCCAGCCCCCTTAAATACTGGTTTGCGAATGGTATAGCAAACCTGTGTAGATCTTTCCGAGGGCATTCAGAGCTCTCGACTTCATGGCCAGATACCCGATCCGTTCGGCTAGCTCCAGGTGGATGGAATGGTAGATGAGGGCTACGTCATAGTTGGGCGGCTTCATGGAATAGTGGGTGAAACCGATGTTGAAGCAGGACACGCAGAGAGCTGCCTGATCGCCTGCTCCAAAAATACAAGCACAAGATATCGATGATAATGTCATGGGATCGCCAGGTACAGATGATCACTGCCTGGGTTATGGTCGAAGAGTGGTCTAACCTTTACTGGTCTGAGACAATTACAGACACTGCAACCATAGACTGGCACCCTTACTTATGGATGACAACTGGGTACAACTCCAAGGACTTCTGCCCAGCAACCAACACAGGAAGGCGTGCTAATTAGTACAACAAAACATTGCATTGGTTTTTATTTTGATACGGTAGCAATAAAATTTCTTTCATCTTGCAAAAAGAATCCTAAAAATACGAGGGTCTAATGTTGAGATCCTGGCAGAAACCGTTTCCTTTCTAATAAAATTTGTTTTTACCAGGATCAACATTTCAGTCCCTATGTTTTGGGAAAAAGTTTCCATCCTGAAACTGGAAGAACTATTTAAGCAGACATCAATAGACATCAGGCCATGGTACTGAAAGGACAGAGATGCAACTGAGTGCTGAAACTAGTCCTACTCATGAGTCTTGAGCTAGACCAAGAGAGGGCGCAATTCTCCTAGCAACATTAACGGAGACTCCTTTGGTATGAACTGCACTTCACTGGTTCACAAATGACTATGAAACGCACAATAGTGTCGCGACCGACAAAATGAACACTGCCCACCAACATGGCTCTTTTCAACCGATGAAGACGTGCTTCTGCTCAAGGCAGGGAGTCACTAGACTTCTCGGAATACTTGGAACAGAGCTGATAAGGTGTTTGCCTACCCCTCCCTCTGGCGAAAACAAACTGCTTCTTCTGGTAGAGCAGTGCGTCGCTTGTCCGTCCCTCTGACCGGAATATTGTTCCCAGGTCGCCTTGGCGATCGGCCACAGCAACCGGGTCATTGAGCCCCTCGGCGATGGTGATGGCTTCTCGCATGTATTCCTTGGCCGGACCCCAGTCTGCAGCAGCCCTTTAAAAGAAAGATCCAAAGTGATAGGCATCCCTGATGTGTCCCTCAAAGGGGTCCAGTTCTGTTTGGAGTTTTCAAGTATGTGAAGAAGTGCTCCCTCACCATCGAAAAGTGTGAGCTTGCTTGGTGATTGTTGTCAATGGGTGTCACTTGCTCACGCATATACAAAGCATTTCAAAAAGGAATCTTTCATGCTTCCAAATATCTTCCTCCATTTCTTGCTGTCTGGAAAGTATAGCGTTACCAATAGCACTTGAAATATGACCTTTTCTTGTTCGTGTCTGATCAGCATAAGTTTGGTCTTACCTACAAGCATTTCCGAATGCCTGCAGCAAGATGCCGCGATTCCGGTCGCTCATGTTTCGCTTCAGCAGCGGCTGGAACACCTGGCTGATGGCGTCTTTTAGATGACCGCTAGCAAGGATCCACTCACCGTGGTGAATGGTCGCTGCAGTGACTTTGTCCGCATCATCTGTCTCCACGGCAATCGCCATGGCCTCGTCCAGGAATGTTCTGGCCTGGTCCATGTTGCCCAGGAAACGGTGGGCGTTGCCCAGGTCCAGGGCGGCCTGGAAGCGCATCTCTTGGAGCTCTTGCGCAGAGTCTCCTGGTGGTGAAGTGACATCCTCCGCATCGATAACCAAGAATCTGCTGCCCTCATGGGCTAAAGTTGCAGATTTTATGACAGAGTACTCCTGCGTGGCTGCTTTTAAACCTTCACTGAGTGGCCCCAGAGACATAAAGACCAGATACAGGAGCCGGTAACAATGCATTTGCTGCATACACAAGGAAAGAACTGACCTTATTTATCGCTATGTCTGGATTGAAGTGAGTCAAACCAGACCCATATGTGCAGTGGACAGCAACAACACGGCAGGTGGAACATTACTATATATGAACAATGAATACACTGGATGGAAATAAGTCAAAGTTGAATAGATTTTAAAACGAGGAAACTTGCTATCAGGTTTAATGCGTCTTATTTCAAGTATGACCCAGACTGCTAGCAGAATTTAATGAGCATTTAATGAATGCTGTCTGATTTTGAGGGTTGAACTCACCTGCTTGACAGAGAGACCTGGTTTGTTTAAAGTCTGTCTCAGTAGGGTGGCAGCAGCAGGTAGATTGACGGAGAGCAGGTCCTGGGCTTTGGAAATTCTCTCATCTGTGCAGGGTGAAAAACTGAAATGCTAACACTGCTTGACAACTATGATGTGTAATATGCAGTTTTTACACACTTGAAGACTGGATAGTCCCAAGGCTTGGAAGCAAAATGCCTCCCAAGTGTTTTCCAACCTTGTAAGTAGCCTGGTAGTCCATCAGGTTTTGCTTGTCTCCCACCAGGTTTTAAAAAATAGGCTCTAAATATTTAGTATGGCCACCAAGTATAAATTTTGGGCACTATAGTTATGTTTCTGAATACTTGACTTTTTATCAAGCAATTGCGATGACAAAAAGCTGTCCGATCTCTAGATTTGCTCCCAATTACAAATGGAACAGATGCCAAGAAATGCACTTGATTTTTTACTAAATGTAGGTCCCTATCAAAGGTGAGTAATGAAATCACTCGCTCATTTCAAGATCTGTTTTAGTCCCCACCGAGTTGAAAATTTATGACTTGGAGATCACTGCCTACTGCCGCTTTCCTTTGTAGGATCAATAGCTCACCGACAGACAGCGTTTCATAATTTTCTGCCCGGTACTCTGCGAGGAGCTGTTCTTGCTGCGCGCTAGCGTCTGCCATCAGCACGTCAATTCTCTCTCTGTGGGCATCCTTCAAGGAGAGTTTAGGGATGTATGTTTGTGATGATGGAACAGCCATCCTGGCCCTATCTATCTGCTTGCCAAGGCGGAAGGCATCAGTTAGCAGGAACGTGAAGAGAACAAAGACAATTTGTGACCCGGGGACCAGTGAAGACATCAGACACCTGCTGGGAATAAATCCAAACAGGAGGACTCACTGGCAAGTGAGGGCTTTGATATTTAAGTCAAGAGATTGGGGGGGATAAAGGATGAACTAACATGGGCACTTGCTCTTGAAGAGTATCTACTTTGAGGGAAGGATAGACCAAGTACCTTAAAGAAAAGAAAAGCACAGGGAAAATATTGAAACATTTACTTCAAAAGTACTGTGATTTTTTCAAACTAGTGTCAAAGGGTTTGTGCATGGGGCATCATGCGATGACTGTGTACGGACATGATGGAGCTCTTCTCGTAATGAACAATGTGGTGACTTATTGCAATCCTAATATAGGGGCGTTTATGAAACAAGTGGCTCAGGCTTAGTCTTCGCTGGTTCCAGCCATTTTGGAGACTCCAGCCATGCAGACTGGGACCAGTGACAATGAGTGAAGCTAAAGACTACGCCCAAGCCACCCGTTTCGTAAACGCCCAATGTCACATGTCTGATAATTATTGCCTGAGGTGAGGTTCCAAAAGATATATAAAACATAAAGCTTGCCTTTATGGTACAGTTTCATTATCATAACAAAGGTACACATGTAGTTACATACAATCACGACAAGTTATTTTTTTTCCCTATACAGTCATGACTCATGATCATACTGATAGGCCCAGATCAGTGGTAGGTGCCATACGCGTAACAACATTGCAACCTGCCATACGAAACAATTTCATTTTTTAAAAGCTGTTTGAAACTTTTATAAACTTGGGAAAGTCCAACCCACACATTCAATAAAAATTCGTCGAATTTTCATAATGACTTTCGGGCTGGGAATTCCCAAGAAAACGACATGACGTATGCCAGACATGCCGTATGAAGGAAACTATTAGACATGTTAGAAGTCTGGAATTAAATTGCTCGAAACGACACCCATAACATATTCGACCGAAAGATGAGGACAAGCATTGTCAGCGAATACTAATTTGTGATTTTAATAACCAATGTATACCTACCTGCGTCAAGCATATCTTTGCATTTTCATTTACAGGTGGGTCGGTGGACAATCATGAAGAAAACTTTGTCCAAGTCCACTGGTTGTGGCCTGCCGACAACATAGTCAGTTCCCCTCTACTGTTATGATTGATAGAGTGCACCGAGAGACCTAATCAAGCACGCCTTCCGTCTGGGTACCTTTTTCTGGTAAAAGCTCGTTGGGTATGCCCAGGGTTTATTTTTAACTTCCTGGGATTCCCCACTTTGGGGTGGCTTGCCTATTTTGGAAGTTAGAATTAACTCCTCCTTTTTAAGAAAAACTTAATACATTGATGAAAGAAAATCATACATTTAAGTTATTTTGCTTTAAAATTGTATATATACATAAAAATTATTGACTGGAAAATAAAAGCCTCCTTTGAGACCATCCAGATCTACTCACGTGCGTTATAATGCTCATGCGTGGACAAGCCAAGATTTCACAATCACACACAGCTAGCCATTTTCGTTCATTTTACCATTTTACAGAATACGCAAAAAGGAAACTTACGAAGCGTCTCGTTTGTTTACATTTTTGTTGTTTTTTGTCCTAGGTTCAATCTTTGTTTGTGACTTTGGAGGATCCAGGTAATTCGGTTAGGTGAGTGTTAAAAATTTGATACGATTTGTGGTGAGGGATGCGTGGCTTAGTGACGAGAAATGGGATTTTTGTCAACCCATGGGTGGGCGGAATCCGACGTCCGAGTATGGTGGGTATCCAGCGGCGAACTAAGGCAGGTGACGACATCGAATGTCAACATGCGGAGGGGTATGGCATGCATGTGGCATGATTAATTAGTTGATCGCAAACGGATGTTGGGTTCCAAGGAGATTAGTGGTTTCGCCATTGCATTGTTTTTGTATTAATACATTGAACTTATTAATTACTAAAACATCATAAACCCCTCCTTAAATAGGCCTACTTTGCAAAGAATTTGCAATCTGCACCATTTTTGTCTTAGCATAGCAGTGAAAAATCAAATTAGTCAAGTCAAATTACATTACGCGTATGCACGGTATAAGGTCAGTCCCCCCAAAAATGGAAGTTGGAACCAAATTGGCAGCGTTTTCTCTGTCATGTTCGCCCATTTCTTGTGAATTTAGAAATGTAAAGTGTGAGAAAAATTGATCTTTTGATCAAATTTGCAGCCCATCATAATTGCCTTTGAACAAAAATTACGTGTTGGGCTGTGCCAAATATCTGAATAATAATTTGATCGATTGTTGAATATTCAAAGATTATTTTTCGAATGTGAATATTTGAATGCAAAATTCATGAAAAGGAAGAAAAAATTTTCTTTTGTTTTAAATGAAAAAAATTGCACTATGGAGGCTTGCTTCAAGCAGATTCAAATGAAAAGCGTCGGATATCTTAAGATTTAAAAAGTAAATTATTCATGGAAGAGAAATTTTCAACTGGGCAAGAAGTCTTGTTCATCTCTTAAATCTTGCTTAATCATGGCTCTTAAATTTGCTAAATGTAATCTGAATTGTGAGAAGCTGTTTTATAGAGCATAAGGCTGTTATATAGAGTACGGAAGTGAATACGACACTTGCACAACCAGTGCATCTCACATCTGAAATATGCATGCTCTTAGAAGTGATGAGAGTTGCTAAGCAACAGACATAGTGCCGATTTAAGTGACAAAATGACCGATAAGAATGATGTCAATCAAAATGGACAAATGTCTTAATTTCCATTGAATAGATCTTTCTTAACATTTTTTTGTGGGTAAAAAGATCACATGCAGTGTAATAAATGTTTTGGAGGGATTTTCTTTGCTTCCTCAACTGGTTGAAATGGAAATCCAACGGAGGTTTTCGTGGTGCAATACTGTTGTTTTTTCCTGCCATAGGAATCTTCGCACTAGGCATGGCTGACTCGGCCATAACAAACTACAAGTCACTCCTCCGGGAGATTGCTCGCGGCCTAACCCCCCAAAATGTACACGACATGGCCTTTGACCTGGACTTTGATGCGGCTACCAACATCAGCACCGGCACTCACTTCCTGCAGGAGATGCAAAACAGGGACAAGCTGAGCGAGGATAATTTGGGTCCCTTGAAGGAAGCACTGGAGGGACAGAAACTCCTCAGGCTCGTCAAGAAGGTGAACCAGTTTGAAGAGGCGCGGAAACCAGGTACATCTGTGGTGTATGCCGTCGCATCGTTTTGAAAACCTTGATTGGGCCGGGCTCAGGGATGCAGATTCTTCTTAAAAGTGTCCTGGGGACGGTCTCAAAAAGGCATTGTGAATTGCACTCGGAATTTTTTGTAGTCTTTACGGCAGGCTTACTTAGTGTTTAAAAGAATGTGTCCTCATCTACCCCAAGCCTGACTAATTTCCATGGATTGAAAATACTGGCGATTCGTAATGAAGTGCGCCACCAAGAGTTTTGTCACAGAGAGGTGTTTCATAAGGCATTATGGGAAAAACAGTCGACACAGTCTCATTTGTTAACGGCACTATGGGTGGGAAACTTCATTTTTCTTCAGTTGTTTATCTTGGTTGAAAATTGGAAATTGTTTATTGCGATGGGGTGTTAGGTTGCCAAAATGATGGCTTTTTGTGGTGCAGGGAACAATTCAATCAATCCAGTAATCCCCAAGTTGCCTACCAAAGTGAGCTCAATTACGGTAGCGTGTTGACCGTAAACTTGACAAGTGGCCTATGTAGCAAACTCTTGGTGGCGCTTGCTGTATTGTGACTTTTTCGTATTGTACATGGGTAACTCCAGAAATAAGGGGTCCATTTTTTTTTTGGTATCCCTGTCACATCCGACATATGGTTTTGCAAGTTCAGAACACATATTCTGATTTCCAAGAGTGATGAATTAATTAATGCAAATTACCTGCCAAACAAATAGTAATAGGTTGAAATCAATTTTGGTGATATTTCCATGTCAAATGACAAAGGTCAGATGTAACAGACACAAAAACTGTCACACCTTTGGACCCTTAATTTTTGGAATTACCCACATATAGAGCCTGCTACTGAGCAGTGCATTGCATTTTCTCTTGATGTCCCAGAAAGTTTGTAGAATTAGAAACCAGGGAAGCTGTGACCAAATGATTTTAATTCAAACATCCAAACCTTGTGTCTCAGGTAGCCTCATTTTCAATTTTGTTTCACTTTTTGAAAGGCTTCTTTTCTGCCTTGTTTCGCTTCATGCTAGTGATATTGCGATATTCATGAGCAAAGCCATGATATCCCAGGAATGAAAATCTTCAAATAAAACCTGTGCATTTTTAAAAACATTTGAAGGGCTTAATTTTGTCTTCTTCGGCGGCGATTCAATGGTGCATAAGTACACAGCAGTTACATGTACAGAACAATCTCTTTCTCAGACGTGCTTTCGTTGTGTGAATTCTCGGTTCTTAAGTTGAACTGAAAATCCAGTGCACTGAACAGAGTCCTCCTTGGATGACATCTCAGCAGCAGGGCGCCCTGAGTGGATAAAGAAATAACATAAATAAATTGTATTCATTTAAAAAAGTGGGGCTTTTTTGGCAAACGCATAAGCCTAATAAGGATATCTGTTTTTCATACAATGAAGAGCGGTGTAACGTTAAAGAAAATTTGTGTTTGAGAAGAAGTACATTTAACTACAGCTTTGTAACGGACGGAAGATTTGTATCAAAGACTAGATGCACAGAAGTAGACTCGGGTGGGAATTCTTCAGCCAAAAATAGCATACTTAGCAGTTTCATTTGGGTAATTTTTTTTATCTAAATTTCTATTGACGGGAATTTTTTATTGTTGGTTGCTTGTCTCAGTGAACACTGAAGACCCACTGAGCAAGACGTGGCCATCTTCAACTTTCGCTCAGCAGCCGCCTCCTGCAGACAAGCAAAGGACCCAGAGCGTCACGACTGATCCGACGTCACTAGGTAATGTCAGAGAGGTTTGTGTAAACAATTGGGAGAATAAATGTTACTGCTCTGTCAATCTTTTCCAGTCAAATGGAAAAACACAAACTCGGCATTCAGCCTCTGGATGATTGAGGATGGTAAGAGGTTGTGGACTGTAATTGAAAGAAACTTTAGTCAAATCCATGTTTTGTGAGCCATTTTGCTGGTGACTTTGTTTTTTAGTGGGAACATGTAGCAGGCATGTAACTCATGTTTTTGTCACTGGTAAATTTATCAAACCACCTTGGTCTTTATTTAGATTGAAATAACTTGATGGGTTTTCCACTTGTTTGTAATAAAAACATATGACATGAGTTCTTGTTTTATTCCCAGCCCAGCCAATGCCTCCACCTCAAGCAAGGATGCCGCAATATTACCCAAACCCACAAGGAGTGGCACCCCCGATGGCCGATTTCCACTGCACCGTGGAAATGCCACGGCACCCATTGAACCCTCAGCCATATCCAGTAGAGGCACACCCTACACGAGACAACCAGCCGATCCAGATGGCCAATCCCAACCAGACGGTGCACGGCCAAGTTCCACAGATCGGCATCCCGAGTCGGCAAGGGGTGGGCACCCCCGGTTACATCCCCACCGGGAGTGGAGACAACGACCCGCGAGAACTCCAACGCATGATCGAGCTGCTACAGGAAAAAGTGAAGCTGCAAGATCAGCTGCTGCAAAACAGCCATCACCAAGTCCCGCCGACGGCAAGCCTGCCCTCAGGGGCGCAATACCCTAGCATGAATCTTCCCGGTAGTACCCAACCTTACGTGGGTAATCAGCATGCACCCGATCAGCGTTCACGGATCCACTCCTACCCCCAAGCAGTGGGGCAGGCCCAACCTCAAAGCAGCACCTCCACCCATGCCAGGCTTTCTGCCGTCAAATCAGCCCCATGCAGTACATATCCAACCAACCAACCAGTTCCCCCGCTTGCCTCTGAGCCGGAGGCATGTTTGAAACCTGTCCAAACTCCTCCCAACATAGGAGACAAAGTCTTGAACATACCTTTGGAGAATGTGAATGAAGGCACTGTGAAATCCTCATCAAATGGTACGTCCTACAAGGCCGGTTTAATTTGACACATCAGTGAAGTTGCACAGAAATGAGCAAATATTGAATCATTTTTACAAGTTCCTTAATTCTGTGAAGAAAATCCAAGTCAATCTCAGCAAGTTTGGAAGTTCTTCCAAGCCTGTGTGATTAAAAATAACGTCTTGTTTTATTTTAGGGGAGGAGGCATCCGTCTAGGGGATAGCAGATTTTTTTTCAAGTATTACAGATGTTTGCCAAAAGGGTAACACTTTTCATTGTAAGGCTTTACAGAAAATTGTGAGGAACAGAGACCCATTTTCTTTGTATCGAAGAAATTTTCAGGCTATAGATTCTTGCCTCACGTCGCAGAAGTCTTCATGAAAAATGAAGAAAGTATTGAACAAAAGCCAATGACTGGTGCTGAGCCAAACCTGCAAACTCTGGTATACAGTACTGTCGTAAACTAAGCTCTCAAGCCCTACCTGATTGTCTTTGAGTTTTCCTCCGTTTATGCGGAGTACCATGGTCCAGTGGGTCTGACATTTGACTCGCATGCGACAGTATGTGGGTTCGAACCCCACTTGTGTCGTGATGTCACGCACCTTGTGCAAGACGCATAGATGCTTCTGTAACTCTTCACTGGAATGTAACAGATATTTGGGAGGGTAGATGTGAAATGGTGTGGATCTTCAGCCGCTTCAGGAATACAGATCTAATGGCCCTATCACCCAGGGTATTAAGAAGCCGTTTGCAAGTTTAATTTGAATAAAATCTGGTACACTGACATGACTGAGTTATCTGATTGCACATAAACATAACAATTTAAATTCCCCAGACTACAGACACTGTTGCTGTACCTCATGATTCGGGGCAAGCAACCACCATCTCTGGAATAGACAGGTTCCTTTGTGCCGTTCTTATCCATTGAGAACAGTGTATTGGTGCAAGGCATCTCTTGTGTAACTAAGCAACATGAAGTTAAAGAAATCCGTGTACCAGTTTTTCTGTTGATAAAGTGCAACACAGACCTTTTTAACTTGTCCATCTTTCTAACTCAACAGGTACAAAGATACCCGACCGAGAGGCAGCTGTGAACACCAATCAGACATACCAGACGGGCAGAGTCTGCACTGGTTCAGGTAGCTGCCAGATCCCTTGAAATTTCAAACAAACATTTGAACTCTTGGGAAATGGACTTCAAAAAGTGTGAGATTTCACTTCAATTAAGAAATTGCAATTTGGGCGCAACGTCCGTTTTACCTGCAGAACTCAACAGGGTATTGTGTCATTTCTTGACACACATCTGTGACTTCAGTTGAGCTGCCTCTTTTTTAATTTTCAAATATGATATGATAAATTTTTGTGTGTGAATAATATTTCCATCTGGCCCCCCTCCAAGTGCATGAGTGGCCTGAAAACGTAAAAATTTGAAGGGGTTTCAGAAGGTAATCCGCAAGGAGCATCGCCAAAGTCAGAAGCATTCACTTTCCCCTTTTTTTGCTGGAGCACAAGCATTCCAGTGGAACCTTTTTTTCATATCAGAGGCAGTGCGCCTATCATGTTTGTAAGTGACTTCATCACAAAGGCGGACGCGCCACGATTTCCAGACTCTCATTCGACGATCGCCGTGCATGTTTAACTTCCGGTTCCACAGTTCCACATTAAAGGCAATTAGTGCATGTAACTCTGTGTGCAGTGCATGTGCAGTGGGCGCGGTTTAAACTGAAGTGACGTCACGCTTACGCACCAGATGGGAATGCCATGGTCCCGGTGAAACGGCTGACCATTCTAAAATGACCGCAAGGCATTCCAAATGGAACGTTCTGACCATTCCAGATAATGAGACGCTCTCTCTGCATTTGACGCCAAGTTGACTGGTCTGGCTTTTCATTTCAGAGGAGAACGGACTGGATTCTGAAGCAATAGCTGTGCAGCCCATGACGCTGCAGAGCATGGACAACACCCAGCAACTTCTGTCAATGCTAGTTGGAAGGCAGCTCCGTAAGTATCTGCACAGAGATGCTCAAATCCTCAATTAATGAGACCAAGTTGGACCTCATCAGCAATTCCCAGTCAGCATTTGGGAAAGAAAAGTTTTTGTCTAGATTATGATGTTTGATTGTAAACGGTGCTGAAATTGGGGAGCTGCTGGCTTCCCTGCACAATGAAGTTCTGCCTCAGAGGTGAAAAAGATGAAACATCTTTGGAGACTGTTTCCAACCCGGATAATAGAAGTATACACTTCTACACCCCTCCCTGGACCCTCATCGGTCACAGTTTCAGCAAAGAAATTGCCTCGTGGAAAACATATTCATTTTGACATCAAAGAATATTTGTTACTTTTTCCTGTAGCACTGAACTCGTGGAGAAAATACGCTGACAAAACTTGGTTCCTATTCATCAAAAAGGCTTTTTCTTTAAAAGAAAAACTCTTGGATCTAATTTACTCAGGGTGTTCTGAAGTTGACAGTTTTAAGAATGAGCTGTTCCAAGTGAGGATTCCAGAAGGGTTGCACTATACGACCACCGAGGGTCAGTTTGTGGTCCTCAACCATGACACTGACTACAGGATCCAGCTCTCCAACAGTGACCAGCGTTTGCGTTGCAGTGCCGTCGTCCACTACAACGGGAGATTCGCCGGAGATTGGACCCTCGATCCCAGGGGCACCATCATCATCGAAAGACCCGCCACGGAGGCAAGAAAGTTCCACTTCGTCGAGGCGAGCCTTGCCCCTCAAGGGTCAGGCATCAGAGAAGGAGATCCTAACAATGGCCGGATCAAGGTGACATTCACCCCAGAGAAAAGGACGGCAGAACCATGGAACGACGTCAGCAGAGGTATTTTAAAGACCAAAATCTAATTGTGTGAAACAGCTCTCTGGTGAATTGCAAGGAAAAACTCACCAGGTATATTATGGTTGGATTTTGGTGTAAAAACAACTGGACTAAAGGCTAGCACCTCACAAAATTTACTGGTAATAGACTGCAACACATATGGTAACATAGGTGATTTACCTGCTGTTTTGGTGGGCATGTGAAGAAAGTCGCTAGTCTGCGCATCTTCATTTTTCTACAATTTTAAAATAATTTGATGGCAAGTACTTTCCAGTACCTTTCCTGGAAATTTATTTTTTTTTAACTGGGAGGGTCTGAATTGTGAATGTAAATGTAGTTTGTGATCTTAATACTTTTGTTCATTTGCCATCGATAGTGCGTTGTCCTCTAACTTTTTTCCTACCAGACGCTGTCTTTAAATAATACTGGCGATTCACGACAGTGCGCCACCAAGAGTTTGCAATGCGTTGGCCAATCAGAACACGCAAAAATTTGTCTTCCCTTTCCAAAGGTGCATTGGGTCAACAAATTTCGCTCACTGTGATTGGCCAACGCATTGCAAACTCTTCGTGATGCACTGTTGTGAAACGGCCCTATTGTGTAACCTTCAGCTCGTGTTATCTTTTACCCATGAATTATAATTTCAGGCTTTAGCAACTTTGGCAGTGAGCCAGAGACCGACTACTTCGGTGTGTACGACAGCACTGGTCCTTCCACAAACGACATTCAGCGAAGTGTTATGGGACCTCCCCCGACCGACTGGCAACTCGGCGCCACCATACTACAGGGTCGAAGTAGCCAGGAGTTCACGGTCTCGGAGCAGTTTGAGCTGGACGAGTCGCGAAACAAGGTCATCGAGTTGCGGCTCGTTGGAAGACGCTGATTGCACATGACACAGTTGTTATTTTAAAAGTGATGGATATAATTTAAACCCGCCGTTAACCTGTTGTGGATTAATGGCACAAAGGCAACTGTGGAGTTTAGGATCCTTTTTGTCCCCTTAGCAATTAAAAAAAAAATCATGCCCATACAACCTTTGCAAACTGGTCTTCTTTTAATTATAAAAACCTACATCATAAAACAGTTTAGGAAGTTTTTTCTTTGAACAAAATGCAACATTTTCACCCAGTTTTCTTCAAACTAGTGCATTTCATAAACTCTTGCGTTGGAGCTGGTGGGCCAGTCAGAAATGGCTTCTGATTCAGTAGCCCCTGGTGTTAACTTAGCAACGGTCCACCAAACCAGCTTGGATATTGCCGCCACCTTCATTTGTGGTGCACACTTATCACTATTGTAATTTTTGGCCCACACTTTTCCTCAACAAACAACGCCATGTCGTCTTGCCAAAAAATTAATCTTGCTGGCCCTGGACGGACTGTCAGAATTTTGTTCTTTTAAAAGGCAGAAACTCCACAATTACCAGTCCACTGTCAAGTATTAATGCATAATTATGCACAACCGTGCCATTGGTTGATACGCATATAAGCTTCCATTTGTAGTCTTGCTAGCCGTTTTTGTCAAAATCACACTGGCTTTTCCGTCTTTTATGAAATATTTTAATCTGCGACCAATTTCATAGAGCTGCTTAAGCACAAAATATGCTCAAGTGCGACAAAAACCTTATTTGATAAATCAGGTAACCAGTCAAATATCAATGTGATGTTTATTGTTTTGGGGTCATACTTAGCTGTCTTTTGGCTAGCGTAACAATCTTTGAGCTGGTAACCTTTGTTTGTCAGGCAAAGTTCTTTCCTGCTTATAAGCAAATTTTGTGCTTAAGCAGCTCTATGAAATTGGCCCCTGCTTTTCACTGCTCGCAAAAATCTGTAAATTAAAATTAAAGCTTGTTTGTTTACCAGCTCTGTACGTTCATGTCAAGATTTGACAGTTGTGACTGCCACGGCACCACCATTTCATTTGCAGATATAATCACACATCTAAGCATTATTTCAACCAAAACTGTTGTCCACCATTTCTGTGTATGCAATTCAAAGATTGATAGCAATACTAGTTTTAGCATACGTGAGGGAAAGCATTGTAGTGCAAATGGGTTATTAGATGGCCACAACTGCACTGTGTAAAGAGACTTTTAATAATTCGGTTCTGTTGGTGTGCCCTTGGACGTAGTGAGCATAAAGTTATTTTATTGCAGTGTATGGTACCTTTCTATGTGTGCTGTTTTTGGGTACGTTGGTTGCAAGATGGGCTTCACTCTCATGGACGCAGACTTTGATAACACAAGTGTGTTACAGTTGGCTGTCAAAATGGCCAGGGGAGCAATTTTGATGGGTACGCAACGTGGCGCAAGTGATGACGGGCATATTATGGTACCTTTAAGAGTGGCAGGGTATTTTTTTTCTTGATATCCCAGTGTGTGAGATTGTGGTATGCTTGCATTCCGTCAATATTTTCCTCTCTTGCTGTTATTTTTGTATTTATTATTGTTTAATTTTATTTAACCAACAAGACAGTTACTCTTTCCGTGTAATAAAAGACAGTCCCTTTTACTTATTCTGTGTTTGTCAAACAAATCTAGCTTCCTTTCCTGATGGGTTTGTATCTCTTGTGAGCTTGAGTGTTATCTTCGTTTGAGGCTTTATATTGTGCATGTAAGAGGTGTCCTCAAAGTAAGTTTTTGAATTTTCCAAAATTGACTGTTTGCACTTTGCAGGGAAAGGGCAGTGTTCTATAAGTTTAGTGTAAAAGGAAAAGCATCACTGGTTCTACATATTTTAAGGGCTAGATCAAATGCTTCAAGTTTGAACTGTTTGAAATAATGTTCAGCAAGCGAGCTTTTCAATCATTTTGTAGCGTACATTCATTGCCTGGTTTCCATTTTTAGCTCACTTTGGACAATACGGGCAATTCACAATAGTTCGTCTCCAAGAGTTTGCAACCCGTTTGCCAATCACGGTGGTGCACGAACTCCGTCGACCCAATGCGTGTTTGGAAATTGTCGACAGATTTTACGATCGGCGGCCAACGCGTTGCAAACTTGTAGGGTCACTGCACTATTGTGAATCACCCGTATTAAGGATCAATTATACAGAAAGTTAACCTGGCTCATTTCTTTGTAAAGGTTGTTTGCCTAGTTCTTAGAACTTCTCTTAATTCTTCATCAACAGAAAAAGTTTGAGGGCTGGACTTTTCCATTTTTGAAGGGGGCAGGTAAATTGGATTTCCCAAAACCTGTGAGAACCACCCCTGATTTCACATCCTTGAATGCTTCCATCGTGTTTTACAAATTTTAAGATGTCAAGTGAACTACAGCAGTGTAACACTCATAAAATGTGTCTTTTTTTATGTTCGAACACAAAGTTAAACTTACGTATGTGTTTTAAAGCTGTGTGCTAGGTCACCTATAAGTTTTTTAATACTATAAATGTTGTTCCCATTGTCGCTTTGAATTCATGTGTGATGTAATGTATATTTGAACAGTGCAAAGAAACATTTCGCATAAATTTCGGGGTGGGCACCTGAGGGTGCACTTTTTTTTAGGAAGATACTCGATAAGTGAAATAAACTGGCTTGTATTGGTTGTTACGATGTCAAAATGTCAAATTGGGGGTGGGTAGGGGGTTGAGGCATGTTAGGGGGAGGGGTACTGACTCTCCCCTCCTCCCTGGAAGCTAGGGACACCTCTAGTTGACAACAGTGTCCTTGTTTCAAGATCACTTCAATGCTATGCAGTACATTGTACTTAGTTTGAAACAAATAAAAACAGCACTCAAAGTTGGATTCCTCAACTCATGATGTACTAAGAGAGACGTGTATAGTACTGTTTTGCACGTGCTTAATGCTTGCCATTGGATATGCATGAAATAATGTGGTGAATATTAAGAACACGTTAATTGCATAACTTCCTAATATTGAGTGTAGTTGGGTTTAAAATGTTGTGATTATTATGTGTAGAAGCGCACATTGCATACTGGATTGAATTTGTCACAAACCCACAAGCATTGCCAATAAAAAAATGGAAAAAAGAAAGTGTCGGCATCTGTACTTTGTGTATGAAATATTTCTGTTCCCGGAAGTTGCCCACTTCTGCCTTGAATGAGGGAATAAATTAATACATGTATTGTTATTCGGACATTTTATGAAGGGAACGTCGAATTACTCTGTCATCATCAACGCTTTCCCACTTTTTGGCAGAATTTCCCAAGTTGTTTTCAAGCCTGGCTACTTTGGCTCATGATACCGTAGCGACGGCGCCGCGGCGACAAGTCGTTGGGTGCCTCGTGGGGCTCCATGGGCTAGCTGTTTCCGCAGTCCACAGACGCTCCCTTTTGGGGATTTTCCAGGGATTTTCCATCTACGCGTACGGCCCCGCGCGGTACGGCGCGGCAGGCCGAAAGGGTGCACTGCCCAATTCAAGGGAAATTTTCGGCAGGACGAGGCGCTCAAAAAGTACAGTTTATTTGGAAAAGAGGAGATTGTGTGGCCCAAGAATTTGTAGGATTGTGAAAGAATGGCCCAGAATGGTCTCCCTAGATTTAAGGGCTCCCATCCCAGGGCNTCGGAAGTGTCGGCATCTGTACTCTGTGCATGAAATATTTTTGTTCCCGGAAGTTGCCCACTTCTGCCTTGAATGAGGGAATAAATTAATACATGTATTGTTATTTGGACATTTTATGAAGGGAACCTCGGTTTACTCTGTCATCATCAACGCTTTCCCACTTTTTGGCAGAATTTCCCAAGTTGTTTTCAAGCCTGACTAATTTGGTTCATGATACAGTAGCTACGGCGCCGCGGCGACAGGTCGTTGGGGGCGCTGGTGGGGCTCCATGGGGCTAGCTGTTCCGCATTCCACAGGGCCCTTTTAGGGATTTTCCAGGGATTTTCCATGGCTACGTGTATGGCCGTTACCGCGGTACGGCAGGCCAATGGAAAATCCCCATGCTTTGAGCGCGAGCCAGACTGGCAGGCAATGGGCAGACATGTTTTGGAGGTGATTCGGTCCAGAGGACAGCCAGATTTGCTTGGACATTGCATAGAATCTCCTTGTGTGTTCAACGGTTTTGAGGTGTCATAAAAAGGCCGGAAAGGAAGCCACCTTTTTTAGACTAGGCGTGTACGAGACTCACAAAAGCGGCGACGTTACGCTGGTGGAAGCGGGGCGCGCACGTCACTGAGAAGAGGATAGGTGAGGATAGTAATTGTTCTTGTTGGCTGTAGGCCTCCCGGTTATTGGATTTGTTTGACACAGTGAGAGCTCGGATCTCTTTTTGAAAGAAAAAAAGCACCTTAGGACGACAGCACGATGCTGCAGGAATTGGAATCTTTGATGGGGGAAAGATAATTTCTGCTAACTTGCCCCCAGATGGTAGCCCCACTAGTGTGGCACGGACACATAACCTTGTGAACTTTCCGTTAACCACTCCACTTTCCATCTTTCCAGTTTTCTTCATTTGTTGGCTCTTATTCTGTTCAGTTTTGTTCATATTTTATGCAGATTCTGTTTTCTTTGGCTGATTTGTGTATAGAACCTTGGTGACCACCTTCACAGTGGATACATGATACATGTGTATTTTTTCTTCATAAATTGTGTCCGTTATTGGTACAAGCAGTAGTCCGAGGTGTTACAGGAAAAATGACCGATCTTTTGAGGTCTCATTTTGTGCATCCTAGCCTGCAGTTTGTTTGAGTGGGGAAAACTATGATGTAATGGATGTTGCCAATCAAAAGGGGAATTCCCCAAAGCGAAGAAGGTGGGCCGGGAGAAAAGAATCATGAATAATGTATGAGGGGTGGAGAAGCTATTTCCTGACCATGGGTACAAAGTAGTTCCGTGAATTTTGAGTTGCAGTGTCCAGTCAGTTGTTGATTTGTAATGGTTTTGGTTTAACACACGAGTGCCACGGTTCAGTCCGTGGAATGTTAAGGCAATGGTAGTTGATTTGATTTCTTTGTTTCTGTGTACTGAAATGCAGTTGACAGCGGCTAACATCTTGTGGTGAAGGTTCTGCATCATTTGATAGGTGCTGTAGAGGCTAATGTATAGGTACATGTATATTCCTGTTTGGTGGACAACCTCTAACAACATTACTAACAACATTGAGAAACTTTAAGCAAAATCTGGTCAAAAACCTGACATTGCAGGCGTTCCTTTATTAGCCTCATTGTTTTTTTAATAATGAAGTAATTTTCCCCGTATCAACTACAGGTAAGCCCTTGATACCAGCAAGAAAAATGTTATGCAGCATGGCATCTCTTGTATGACTTTTTGTGAAGTTTAACTGAAAGGGTGTATATGTTTACATGTATTCATAGGTTATATGTAACTGAAATCATATTTTTCCCCAACAGTTTGACAACCCCCCCCTCCGATATCAGCCATGGCACCAATAGGAAATGTGACCTCCACAGACGACCTGTCACCATCTTACTCAGCTACCATGGCACCATACAGCGTAACCTCCGCACAGTATGAACCAACGTCTCATACAACACTGGCCCCTACCTCAGCAGGATTTGGATTAAGTCTGGAAATGCGGTGGCTCATAGCAACTTTGGTTTCTGTTTGTAGCCTTGTTGTTGGAGTTGGTGAGTGAAGTACCATACGTGCGTCTGCTTACTTGTAAGACAAAAAGTAGGTCTGTGACTGCAGTCACAGTTCTGTGTAATCTAGACGGTGAGACACATAAACTTAAGTTTCCATAGTGATCTAGATGTTATCATGATCTGTCTAGAAAGTAATCACCTGGAATGAACCTACAAACGGTTTTGGGATTGTGCACAGG